GCATATTAATAATAAATAATGTATAGTTTGCAAGTTCAGGATTAATTTTTTCTCAACTATCTTCATTTAGCATGAGTTTTTCTTGGCATATTTCTAAAAATTCTTTGGAAACATAGAGTCTGCCAAGCCTACCAGGAGTGATCCCTGAGCACAGAGCCAGGAGTAAGCATGGAGGGCCATTAGGTATGGCCAAAACCAACCATACAGAAAAACAAGAACAAAAATATGTAATTTGGTGCATTAAAAAGTACTGTAATAAGTGATTATATGTTTCCCCATTAAAAGAATTTGTTACAATTCTGTATATCTTCATGTGAATGATTATTTACTCAAGATAGATTGCAAAAGGTAGATTTACTGAGTGCTTACTTCTCTATTTATTTATTTATTGCAGAACTGGTGGCAGAACCCAGGTGTTCTACCACTAGGTCGCAACCCTTCTTGAGGGGGAAGAGGATGGGCTTCAGACCACATCAGGAGGTGCTCAGGGCTTACTCCTGGCTCTGTGCTCAGGGAACACTCCTAGCAGTGCTCCAGGGACCAAACATGTGTAGGCTATATGCAAGTAAATGACCTACACCCCTATACTAGTTCTCTGTTCCATTTTTTTCTGTTTTTATTTATTTTTGGTTGGGGCCCTACGCTGGTGCTTTGGGTTTGCTGTGGCTCTGTGCTTAGGGGTCGCTACTAGCAAAACTCAAAAGGACCATATGGGATGCTGGGAATTGAACCCGGGTTGGCCTTGTGCAAGGCAAGACCCTGCCCACAGCCCTATCCCTCTGGCCCTTTCTGTTCGTGTTTCAAGTACTGATCTATAGTCCACATGTGCTCTTCAAATTATAGTTGGAAGCAAACCTCTGAAATGGAGCAATGGTCAGTGTCTTAGTACAAGGAAATCTTTTGTATATTTCTCACAGAAATCACCATAACAACAAATCGGGAGGCCAGAGTAATAGTAAAGAAGGTAATAGTAAAGCAGGCCCTTGTGTCGTATGCAACTGGTTCCAGCACAAATATCCTGTATCGTTCCACAAGCACTTCCAGGAGTAACTTTGAGTGCAGAGCCAGGAGTGACCATTGAACACAGCCAGGTGTGGCTCCAAAACAAAACCAAACCTCCCAGAAAGCAACATTGGAATCAGGAAAAATGCTGTGTATAAGTCAGATAGCAAAGAAAGCAAGATATAAAATTAGGGGACAAAGGCATTCATTCCATTTCTACTTGCAAAAATCTATAGCACTTTATGTTTTTTGCTTTTTTGGGTCACACCTGGCAACGCACAGGGGTTACTTCTGGTTCATGCACTCAGGAATTACTCCTGACAGTGCTTGGGGAACCATATGGGAATGCTGGGAATTTCGGATCAGCCGCATGCAAGGCAAATGCCCTACCCACTATGCTATCTCTCCAGATCCTCTATAGCACTTTTTGAAAGAAAATGCATAAATAAAAAAGTAAAATCAGTAATCCAAAGCATAAACTAGTTTAATTTAGTAATAACTTAGAAATCAATACATCGAAGACAAAGACCTAGTGGAAAATGTATAAATACCAGGAACGTGCAATATATGGGATAAGAATTAAAATCAGGTATTTTCATGGTATGATTCTCTCCTCATAATATGTTTAAGTGAAGGTAATGTGTCCTATTTGACAGTATGAAAGAATGCAACAAAAGTGTTTATAGTCACTGGAGCCGGACTGCCGGTGAAAAATGTTTATTTTTACGCAGCTTAGGTAGAGCATGAATGATTCACGGCAAGCATATATATTAGAATCTTTCTAAATAAGCATACAGAATTATAAATGTATTAGGAATCCAATCAGTTTCCCTACTTTGTGATTTTTTTAGAAATCATTGACCTATAACATGACACAACTTTCAGGTATACAAAATCATTCTTTAATATTTGTATACATTGAGAAATGGCCGGCACCCTTAGTCTATTAAGCATCTAGTATCACCATCACAATCACAATCATCCTGTTGTTCATCGATTGCCTCGAGTAGGCACCAGTAACGTCTCCTTCGTTCTAGTATCACATAGTTATAAATATTTTTTACCATAATGGAAATTCTTATCTACTGTCTCATCAATTCAGGCACACAATCATATATTGGTTAACTCTAGTTCCATGCTGTATAGTAAGATATGCCTAGGATCGGTGGATGTTCATTTCCAGTACCTTTTTTACATTGTAGCCTCCCCAATTGCCCACCTCTCACAACCTCCCAACTGCTCTCTGTATCTTTCAGCTCAGTTTATCTTCGTTTAGAAGTATTTTTTGAGGTTTTGTTTGGTGGTTTGGATTTCACATCTGAGTGAGATGCGAGGTTATTTCCTCTAAGGCATTTCATTTAGAGTAATGCCTTTGACAGTTCATCCACATTGTTGAAAATTCCAAGATTGGCTTCTTTGGGTGACTGAATAATATTCTGTTGTACACAAGCATATATTTCTTACCCATTTGTCTGTTGATGAGCACTTTAGCTTTTTCTCTATCTTAGCTATTGTAAGCAATGCTTCTAAGACCACAGGGGGTGCATTAGGACTCCAATCTAGTTTCAAGTTAGTGTTTTTATTTTCTTTACACAGATACCACTTAAGAAGAACTGTTGACTCATGGGTTTGTTTTGATTTTCATTGTTTTAGGATCCAACTGTTTTCTGTAGTGATTGCCACCAGAGCACACACGGTCCCTTCTCTCCAAGTCTTGGATAACAGCATTTTTGGAAGTGACATTTCAGCAGGTGTGAGGTGATGACTCGTATTTGCTTTCCCTTTCCTTCATTTTGTCGATGTTGAAGGAAGGGCCCTTGTTTCCTACGTTTGACTGCAGTTGATTGTGGTGTTTCCATACTGGGTTATGGTGTGCGGGGACTCACACCCACAGCTCAGAGATCACATCAGCAGCTCCAGAAATCACACTCAGTGATGAGGTGTGGCACTGAAGATTGAACGTGAGGGCTCACACATGCAAAGCAGGTACTTCACCACTGAGTCATAACCCTAGATACCCCTCATGCTGATCTTAATTTGCATTCGCTGAAGACTGCTAATGATGACTTGTCTTTAGCTTTTGGCCATTCATATATTGATTGGAAATTGTTTTCTACTCTAAATATGCATGCACAACCAGAGAGATAGTTTCCCTAAGGCACTTGCTCTGCACATGGCTGACTCCAGTTTGATCCAATCCCCCCTCCACGTATAGTCCTAAACCTGCCAGGAGTGACCCATGAGCACAGAGGGGTGTTGTAATGTTTTGACATTCTATATAAAAAGATTTTTTGATTATTGTAAGGAGATATGCAATAAGATAAGATGAATATTACATACACTAGCTCTAAGAATAGGTAGGTAAAGTGGAGATTAAGTGAATTGTAAAAATTCACTCTAAAGGAGTTAAGCGAAGAGGGAAAAAGAGAACACAGAATTCATGAAACAACAGAAAATAGTGGGACGGTCGATTTAAAGTCGACCATAATCACTAATCACATTATAATCATTAGAAAAGGTTTAAACACTCCAATAAAAAGGAAAAAGGGTCCACTTTGATTTTTAACAACTATGTGTAGTGAGGACAGGAACGTGTCTTAGAGGTAGACTGCATCCCTAAAATGTGTGAGGGACAGGCTCCATCCTAGGGAAAAGAAAAAGACATGTTGTCACAGAAATACAATTTCATGTGCATAGGTGCAGTAAAAGTGAAAATATGGATTAAGATGTGTCATGCAGGGCTGTGGAGATGATCCAGAGGGATAGTTCAAAGCTTTGTATGCAAGAGGTCCCAGCACTACACATGACCCCAAAAACACCACTGAGGCTGACTCCAGCACTGTGCCAGAAATAGCTCCGAACACCTCCAGGTGTGAACCCAAAACAAAAATACACTGTGGGTGGGGGAGGAGTTTTCAAGTACATATACTTTTGTTTAAAAGGAAGCTTGAAGGAAGCCATCAAATTTTCATAGGGGTTCTCCCTGGTGAGTGGTGAGTTTGAGGAAGGTTGTATTGGTTGTCATCTTTACAACTTTCTGTAACTGCAAAAATTACCAATCACAGGGCCTTGACTCCCCTCTCCTTCCTGTCTGTTGGTGTTACAGTGAGCAGGTGTTGCACATACAGCCACTTGCCAGTGGTGTTTGCTGAGGTTTCACTCGCTTACTTGCAGTGCTTACACACATGCTCACCAGCGGCCACCCTCATACAGTTGTGGCACTAGAACTCACCTGGCTGCAGTGAAGCTGCAAATCACTTTCAAAACGGAGGGTTACTACAACAGAGCTATCAGGTACAAACAACAGAGGTACAGGAACTAGATCAGTGTATGTGGTAGCACCAGAGACAGAACCTGGGACCTGATGCTTGGAAAGCAAGAATTTCTCTCCAGATCAAACTTCTGACCCCTAACTACAGTCTACTTTGCTATAACAGAATGAGTTAGACAACAAATATACAAAAGAAACATTTGGTCATTGCTAGACTAGGGAAAAGCAAAATTCATAAAATGGATCACATACATGAAATATTAGACTCACTATAATTGGATTCAACCCAAAGGTATGTGTCGGCCTGTTGGGGAACAGTTTTCCCCCAGTGTGCAAAGACACATTGCGTACGGGACTGGGAAGTCGTGTGGCAAAGGATGTTGGATGCGTGGAGAAACCACCCTGGGAGGCAGGTGATGGCCAATTGCTTTATTGCCAAATACACACATTTTAGAGAGGGTCTCCTCTAAAGACGGTCCAATCACATAAAGTTTAGCATTACTGACCTATCACATTTGTAAGTCTGTTTTGATCCAGCCCAATCCCAATTAGGGCTAGTTAGGAATGCAGTTCAATGAAAATTCTTGGGAGATGACACTTAAAACTGGGAACTCGGTGCGTGTAAAATGACCCAAGATTCCCTACTGGGTGACTATGCAGGGACAGGTCTTATCTGCTCTGTAGCTGATGCCAAGCTCCACATCAGTCCCAGCAAAAGGGTGTGACTCTAAGACGTACTTTCTTTCCCAAGGGCCTTGAGCAAAGCTCTCTTCACCTCTTTGTTCCGCATGCTATAGACAATGGGGTTTAGCATAGGAGTGAGGACGACAAAGAGCACGGACAGCACCCGGTCACGCAGGCGGGAGTATGCAGAGCTGGGTAAGATGTAGCAGAGGACTGAAGTGATGTAGAAAATACAGACCATGGTGAGGTGAGAGCCACAGGTGGAAAAGGCTTTCCTTCGGCCTTCAGCAGAACGAATCCTGAGAACAGCAACCACAACATGAATATAAGAGATCACAACCAGGGCACAGGGTGCCAGAGCCACCAGGAAACTGAAGTAGAACATTGCAAGCTCATTAACATGTGTGCTGGAACAAGAGAGTCTGAGCAGTGGAGGAATGTCACAGAAGAAGTGGGTGATAAAGTGAGATCTACAGAACTTGAGTAAAGACACAAGAATGGTGTGAGTGAGACCATTGATTAAGGCAAACAGAAAGGAGAGTGAACCAAGTAGCAGTCGGGTCTGTCGGCCCATAAGAACTAGGTAGTGCAGGGGCTGGCAGATGGCTGCATAGCGGTCATAGGCCATGGCTGTGAGCAGGAAGCACTCCCAGGGAGCCAGGAAGTGGTGGAAGAATATCTGGGTAAGACAAGATCTATAGGGAATGATCCTCACTGACACCAGCAGATGTGCCAGCACCTGGGGCACCGTGTTGGAGATATACGCTGAGTCCAGCAGTGACAGGTTGGCCAAGAAGAAGTACATGGGCGTGTGGAGTCGTGAGTCAATGAGAATCAGGCCAACAATGCCGAGGTTCCCAACCATGGCCACTAGGTAGATCAGCAGAAAGATGATGAAAAGTAAGGGTTTCAATTCCTCTGCATCAGTCAGTCCTTCCAGAACAAACTGGGTCGATGAGGTCTCATTCCCAAGCTGCATGGAGCCATGCACAGAAATCTGCACCTGTAGGACCCAACTCAAAATCAGATTAGGGTGTGAGCTTGGAGTTCCAACTTGAAGAAAGAAATGGGATGGAGGAAAGCGCAGAGGCCAAAATCTCAGGTTGGGGGGCAAGACAGGAGGTAAGGCATTTGCCTCGTACATGGCTGCCTCAGCCACAATCATAGTTCAAATCCCTGGCACCTCATATGGTCCCCCAAGAATCATCAAGGATCTCTTCTCAGCAAAGAGCCAGAAATAGCCCCCGTTCACTGCCAGATATGGCACCAAACAAAAAACAACATCATGAGTAAAAATTATAAGATTATACAAATTATAATTACAAGTATCAGTAAGTGTAAAATATTATAATTATACATTTTATATAGCACTAAAAATATGGATTCTTAATTATAAATCATTGTTAAATTATAATTTTACAATTATAAAAGTTATAACCCTGTCTGTATGTCCTCTGAAGCTTTTTCAAACATGCACAAAACAATATTCACAGGTCAGAAAAAAGAAGAAATAGATAAATTAACAAAGATCAATGGTTTAACATCTCCCGTTAAGAGCATCTGAGCTGAGGCTGGAGAAATAGTACAAGTAAAAAGCACTAGCCTTGCATATGCCAACTCTAGTTCATATCCCAGCACTGCATATGGTCCTCTGAGCACTGTTGACTGATCCCCGAGCACAAGCCAGGAGTAAGACCTGAATGCCACCAGTTATGTATGACTACCCCCCCAAAATATAAGAACTAAAAATAGAACACAATTTTAACCATGTTTCCTAGCTACGATTTCTGGGATTTGGGGGCTGTGCTCAGGGTTGACTCCTAGCTCTGCAATCAAGGATCACTCGTGGTGCACTTGAGGGACAATATGAGGTGCCGGGATGGAACCTGGATCAGCCACATGCAAGACAAGCACCCTACCGTCTGTACTATCTCTGCCCTCAACTATAAGTTTTGGGGGGTTAAGGGGGCCACATCGGGCTGTGCTCAGGACTGACACCTAACTCTGTGCTCAGGGACCACTTCTGGCAGGGCTTGAGGGACGTATGGGCTGCTGGGGATTGAATCCAGGTTGACCTTGTGCAATGCAAACACCCTAACTTCTGCACTATCACTCCAGGCCTCCCTAAAGTATAGCACTGTAGCACTGTCCTCCCATTGTTCATAGATTTCCTCGGGCGGGCACCATAAGGTCTCCATTGTGAGACTTGTTACTGTTTTTGGCATATCAAATACGCCACAGGGAGCTTGCCAGGCTATGCCATGAGAGCAGGATGCTCTCGGGAGTTTGCCGGGATCTCGGAGAGGGATGGAGGAAGTTGACCCGGGTCAGCCCCGTGCAAGGCAAACGCCCTACCTGCTGTACTATCACTCCAGGCCCCCCCAAACTCTAGTGTTTTTTTATAAAGGAAAAGAAAATGATAAAGAAACAATGAAGAAAATCAAATAAAACACAAATTAAAATCTATGTAGTAGCAAATGAATAATGAAAATAAGACCAGATGTGAATAAAATATAAACTGGGTCAATACAGAAAATTCATGAAACAAAAATTTTAATACCAATAAAATAGACCTAAAGAGAAACCATACATCTAAGGTAAATTTGTGAATAAATTTGTCAATTTAGACTGAGTAGACAAATTCCTTGAAGGACACCAATTACCATGACTAACACAAGCAGAATAAGAAGTAAAATCTATAATATGAGTGGAACAGAAAGCATAGGTGCATGGTGATATTCTAGAGAAAACTGTCGAATCTAGGGGACTTGGAGCAATAGCACAGCAATACCTCAGCTCAGATGCTCTTAACAGGAGATGTAGTTAGTGGGTAGGGCGTTTGCCTTGCACGTGGCCAACCCGGGTTCGATTCCCAGCATCCCATATGGTTCCTCGAGCACCACCAGGAGTGATTCCTGAGTGCAAAGCAAGGAGTAACCCCTGAGTATCGCCGAGTGTGACCCAAAAAGCAAAAAAAAAAAACTGTCAAATCTACCTGAGAGAAACAGCACCAATCCCATACCAATCTTTACAGAAAGGTAGATAAGGAACACTTCCCAAAGCATTCTGTGAAGACAGCATTACATAATACCAAAACCAGATAATGACACTGCAATAAAAGAAAATGAGACCAATTTAATTCACGCAGTTACAAGTACAAAAATTAAATTTTAGAAAATTGAATGCAGCAATATCTAATGCATGATATATTATCGTGCATATATAACCATGATGCAAAGGATATATATCCCAAGAATGAAAAATTGGTTTCATATTAAAAAACCAATCAGTGTCTTTCCTTAAGTTAATAAAAACAAAGACAAAAACCAGGTTCATTTCAACAGATTCTGGAAAAAGCATGGAGGGGGCTGGAGCCATGGAGAGCAGGTAGGGTGCTTGCCCTCCACGAAGCTGACCCGGACTCGATCCTCGGCATCCGCTTTGGCCCCCGACCACTGCCAGGAGTAATTCCTGAGTGCAGAGACCAGAGTAACCTTAGAATTTGGGGGGTCTACAACCCAAAAGAACTGAAAAATAAAAGCTTTCCTTAAAAAGAAAAGAAAAGGCACTGTTAATATTTAACAACCAGTCGTTATTAACTGGATATTTTCTATCGCTCATTGTAATGAATTAAAATCATTCTTGAATAGTTGTTAATAGCAGCTTCCAGATACAACGTACACAAAGGAGAAAACAGTACCTATGAAGTAGAAGCGCTGTCTTGATGTGTAAGAGATATTCATAATGCTCTCGCTTAAAAATGTCTTAACATTCCGAAGTATAAGAAGGCACGCTAAGTGACATCTCGATTCCTTCCTAATAAAGACCGAAGGTCCACTCTGGATGGATTATCACAGACTGGTTTCTGTTTATTTTTTGGAGGGGCATAGGGCCACACCTGGTGGTCGTCAGGGCTTACTCCGGGCCCTTTACTATTGGGGGGTGCCAGGGATGAAAACGGGGTCAGATATGTGAAAGGCAAGCCACCAGTCACGTGGAGGGCAAGCCCTCTCTCTGCCTGCTGTATTATCTCTCCAGCCCTTCATGGACTAGTTTCAAGCAGTGCTTTGGACCGGATCTGCTGGAGCATCTGTCCAGGGAGCCTGTGAAAGTTTTTTTCGTTTTTCTGGGAAGACGTTCTTAAAGGGTATTCTGTTTAAAATCCGATATTCTTTGTCGAGAGAGTTAGATGTGCATAAGGCACTTGCCCTGCATGTGGCATACCCAAGTTCGAGCCCCAGCATCACAGACAGTCCCTCACGTAGCACATAGCCAGAAGGGCTGAGCGCAGCTGGTTGAGGCCCAAAACCAAAGAAGAAGGAAAAAAGGAAACCCTAAACAATCTACCGAAAAGAGTAAAGTAAAAATTCTAAAACTCTAGCCAGAATCTGGAAAAAACCTGAGTGCCTGAAAACATATGATTGGTTAAAGAAACTTTGGTACATCTACACAATGGAGTACTATGGAGCTATTAGAAAAGATGAAGTCACGAAATTTACATATAAGTGCCCCTACATGGAAAGTATCATGTTAAGCGAAATGAGTCAGAAAGAGAGGGATAGACATAGAAAGATTGCATTCATCTGGGGAACATAAAGCAACAAAATAGGATTATAGGAATAGAGATTAGTACCAAGAGGTTTGCTCCATGGCTTGGAGGCCAGCCACACATGCTAGGGGAAAAGGGAGCTCAGATAGAGAAGGGAGCATCAAATAAAGGGTGTTGGGAGGATCCTCTCAGGATGGGAGAAGCATGCTGAAAGTAGACTATAGACCAAACATGATTGCCACTCAATGCCTCTTTTGCAAACCACAACACCCAAAAGGAGAGAGAGAACGAAAGGGAATGCCCTGCCACAGAGGGCATGGGGGGTATGGGGGGTGGGAGGGATACTGGGACCCGTGGTGGTGGAAAGTGGGTACTGGTAGAGGGATGGGTATTTGATCATTGTATAATTGAAACCCAAGCACAAAAATTTGTAAGTCTACAACTGTACCTCACGGTGTTTCACTAATAAAAATTTGTAAAAAATTCTAAAACTCGCCATCCCATACAATAGTATCAGAAAACATGAAATACCTGGGGCCAGGGAGATATCACAGCGGGTAGGGTGTTTGCCTTGCACATGGCCGACCAGGTTTGATCCCCAGCATCCCATATGTTCCCCTGAGCACTGCCAGGCGTAATTCCTGGGTGCAAAGCCAGGAGTAATTCCTGGGTGCAAAACCCTAAGCATTGCCAGGTGTGCCCCCCTCAACAAAACATGACCTATCCAAAGTGATCCATGTAATAAAATAGGTGCAAATATTTACATGGAGAAATGAAACCCACTCGTAAGAGATCTAAGAAAGTCTACGAAAATGGAGAAATAGACTCTTATCATGGATTGAAAGGCCTCATTTTGGGGGGTTGTGGGGCCATGCAGTGGTGCTCTGGGCAGAGAAATGGCCCAGCTCCACATCTGATATTGAGAAGTACAAGATGCCACCAAAGCTTCCCAGGTAGACCACTCGGGGTTAACAAATCTCAGAACTTCTCCTAGTGGGGATGGGCAGATTCCCCCTTTCTTCGCAAAGGTACAGCAGCACGAAGACACAGTCGACACCCTTTGGTTTAGAAACAGCCCAGCTCCACAACTGAGCTACATCAAGCTGCCAAGCCACCAAATCATTAGAGCTCTGTAGCTCCTGGGTCGTGTGAAGCAGCTCCATAACACCTACAACATTCAGGGTACCGTCAGCCCAGTAGGATCACAGCAAATCCAATGGGAAAATGGCACAGAAGAACAGCCAGCTCACAGAAGACTCAGCTAGCACCAATCAGCCCAGGAAGCCCGAGAAAAAGACTTTAGTACAGACATTGTGAGATTAGACAATGATCACAAATGGACGTTTACTGATCTAAGACCTGATCATTTCATCTTCCTTTGTGTAATATCAAGCAAAAACAAGGTTTGGTTGCCCTGCTGCAGCTATAAC